ACAACATGACATTATGTTGCCCTGGTCATCAGTCTTTGGCACTAAGGAATGAATAAGGTATTTCAAGATGTCATGGTTCGTCTTTCGACCATCTCATTTGATTTATTTACAGTTTTCTTTCCAATGCGACTTCATTTCATTAGTTTCTTGTTTTTTGATAATTAGTGTCAATTTAGTAGTAAACAAATCTCGTAAAGATCTTCACGACGTACGCTGCATTTGCGATTTGTGAGACTTGTCACATACTAGTAGTTATTACTACTAGTTTAGTATTTATTTTTCGTATTTTGAGACTTGGTAACTTTTTGCAGACCTTCGTTTTTACCACCGTCTTTGTATTGCTAACAAAGGCAGATTCAATCATGGTATTGTTTTAAATTAGTGCAAGATGTGACTGACTCATCAAGTGTCATGGTACAGTGATGCTTCAGAGGCCAGGGAAGAAGAACACCGTTGACTCGTTTGTTGACTAATTCCGATGACAACCCCTTCTATACTAATCTGTTGACTAATGGCTATGATCAAAGAGTAATATTTAACAATCAAAATGTTTTCATCATTGACAGTCTTTCCAAACGTGATGATCAGCTAATACAGTGCCATCATAGTCGTTTTCGAAATTCTTTTGTTTTTATGACTTTGTTTTTAAATATCCTTCTTACTTTCTTCAAATTTGTTTAACACAAGTATTTTAATTGACACTCGACCTTATATGCATAAATTATAAATAAATATAGTTTATACTCTTGAATGTTTAATAAGTTAAATCAACAGTTGTTGTTCTACGCCAAGCTTAATGTGAGTCCCATGCAACGTATACAGTGTGTAAAATGTATTGTTTATACACAATTATGATAAACTAACTAAAGCTGTAAAATCAATAACACAAAACATTCTATTAGAAACACTGACAAATCAAAGACTTCTATTATTTATATAAACACATGTGCTACTAATAAAGCGAATATGGTACTTACTTTGAGGTATTTCTTTCCGTTATTTTCTCGATCTCCAATTATAGGATGAATGGATCCACTTTTTAATAACCTGTGAGGTTGAGAAAAGAATGATAAATCAAATAAGTCACATATCAACAAGTCATTGAAAATGACACAGTCCCCGTTAAGTTCTCTTTGTGCTCGTCATATTAAAGCGAAGGGGTTGTCGCGAGCGTGTCCTTGAAACTTGAGTTCCAAGTGGCGTTAACAACAGATTGTTTATTTACATCAAAACACGTATTCTGTGTAGTAGTAATATGGCCAAAAATAAAAACAGCCGTTATTCGGCCATCTTTGATCTGATTATGAAACACACTGATATGTATAATGTATGTGCCAAATATGAATGAAAATGGTACATAAATTGTGGAAATATAGTAGTACCGTTAAAGTCTTATTATAAACCGCGGTTTATATTACAATGTATCAATTTAAAAATTGGGATCAAAAGCTCATTCGGGGTGCGGTTTCTATTACGTACATATTGCAATCACTAAATGGGCGTGGTCATTTTTTGTTCACAACACATGCACAAAACAAACAATACACCGTGCAATCTCTTGAATAGGCGTCGGGGAAGAGTGAAAGGCCTTATTTTGGTTCTAAAATAGGCGTTACGAAATGTTGAAAAATTACAATCAAAAAAAAATTCTACATGATACAAAAAATACTCAGTATTTTTAATGTAATATGCATTTATTTTTTTTAATTTTCTTGGTAACGAAAAGTATATTCTAACAGAAGTTTCAAATAAAAACACGAATGCACTGCTTAGTAGCAAATGATCACATAACGGTAGCTCGATCGGGCCATGCTGCTGGTCTCAAGTGAATAACTTACTTGTTTTCGAAGTGTTGATATTGGTGATTATTATTTAGTAGTGATTACAATAACGCACGAAAAATAAATTCGTTGAATTGTTATAAAATGCAAGTAAAATTCAACTTAGTTTCCCCGTAAGCGAATGATTTCAGTCACATGTAAACAGCCGATACGATATCCGCCATGCTTTTGAATGCTCGCGTGACGTATTATTGACCAGATAGGTCAAGTCGCTAATTAACCAATCAAAATGCTGGATGGTGCCCACATGTCTAAATTCAGCGACCTCATGGTGAACGCAACACGGAAGAGATTTACCGATAATGTAGTGCGATCTTTTGCCTTTGATTTCCATGGGAAAACGGCATGATTTTTTTTTTAAATCAAGAAATTATTTGTTTTCAAAAGATAAATTATTCTTCAATGCTCAGTTTAACACTTTTACGGTGATAAAAGCTCATTGTCTAAAACTTACGAAACACAGACGTATTCAGAAAGAGTATTGACAGAGGTCGCCGCCAGAACAAAAGCAGTTTCAGTGCCTGTCTGACATCTTATCACCGCTGAACAATAAATAGGTGTGAATATTTTTAGGCATGTTGTCGAAACAAAGAATAGGATTAGGAACAATGCCGTTTTGGAACAGCTGGTTGAAACAATGAAGACAGTCACGGTCTTGTTGAATTGGGGGTGCGGTTAATAATAGGTACTTTTCAAGTTTTCAATTTTTGTTAAGAACTCTTTAACCCCGAAGCCGGAATTGGGGGTGCGGTTACTATTACGTATGCGGTTTATATTAGGACTTTAACGGTAAGGCCAAAAAGTCAGATGGCTGTCAATCGGCCATCCTTGACCAGATTTTGAAACAAATTGTCATGGACATGCATCCTAACATGTATAAAGTACATGTATGTGCCAAATTTGAATGAAAACTGACAGAGCACGTCCAAGATACCGCATAAAAAAACAAAAACAAGATGCCTGCCAGTCGACCATCTTTGATCCAATTGCGAAATAAATCGTCATGGACATGTATCCTAACATGTATAATCTATGTACCAAGTTTGAATGACAACTGACAAAGCATGTCCAAAATACAACATTTTCAAAAAACAAGATGGCTGCCAGTCAGCCATTTTGAATTGAATCGCTAAATCACTACATGTGCATATGTCCCACATAAGGTACTAGGCACATGCAAAGAATGAACGGAATCGGTCCACAGGATTCTGAAATATGACGTTGGATAGACTGACACACGGACACAGACGGGGACGGACAGACTCAGGAACTCACGGACGGTCGGGGACATGTATCCTAACATGTATGATCTATGTACTAAATTTGAATGAAAACTGACAAAGCATGTCCAAAATACGACATTTTCAAAAGACAAGATGGCTGCCAGTCGGCCATCTTTGATCCAATTGTGAAATAAATCATCATGGACATGTATCCTAACATGTATAATCTATGTACCAAGTTTGAATGAAAACTGACAAAGCATGTCCAAAATACAACATTTTCAAAAAACAAGATGGCTGCCAGTCGGCCATTTTGAATCGTATCGC